TCTCTCTACATATATATATATATATATATATATATATATATATATATATATATATATATATATATATATATATGTATATATATATATATATATATGTATATATAAATATATGTATATATATATATATATATATATATATATATATATATATATATATATATATATGCATATATATGTATATATATATGTATATATATATATATATATATATATATATATATATATATATATATATATATATATATATATATATATATATGTATATACATATATATATATACATATCATATACATATGCATATATATATCCATATTTAAATATATGCACACACTCACACACATATATACATATATATATATATATATATATATATATATATATATATATATATATATATATATATATATATATATATATATATATGTATATATATATTTATATATATATATATCCATAGGTAGGGTACAGACAGACAAGTAGACCACCACTCCTTACGGTCATAGCCTTGTGCCCGGGATCATGTGCATTCCAGGAAGATAATTGTCATGTGATAAACCTATCCCTGTACCGAATGATAATTGCTTTTAATGGTCCTCAATAACAGACCTAATAATCTGGCCTGTTGTAACATGTCCTCGTGCCCGGGGTCATGAGCATTCCAGGGAGATAATTGCCTTGTGGTAAACGCATCCCCCATGTACCGAATGCTATTTGTTTTTAATGATCCTCAATAATGAGTCGGTGTCCTACTCAGTTTGTAGTAGGTGATTACAGGGTGTCATAATCCAAGTTCGTCGACTTAATGTTCATAACGCATTTAAACAATAAATTTACTCGTCAAATGAATTTATTGAAAGTGACCCGTTCAGCACAGATGGCAGGAATACATACCATACCTGCTGTAATATAAGTTCATTTACCATGATTAAGAAATGGCCAAAAGATTATTGGAATTCTTTCCCTCTATCTTTGCTCTCAGTTTGTAGAAAGGGATTATAGGGTGAAATAATCCAAGTTCGCCGACATAGCCGATATGCCACGTTAGGCACATGGTCAAATTATTATGAGAAGTCTTTCCCTCTATCTTTGCCTGATGTAAATGTTCATGGCGCATCTGAATAATGAATTTACTTGTGCACCAGGGAAATGAATATATTGAAATCAACTATTGTGTGCATTCACTTGTAAGCATTTTATTCGGGGGAAATCCAAAAATCGACACCGATTGTCTGCATCAACTGGTCAGGAGGGTATATTCTGTGATAATCCTTTTCCTTGTTTTCTACGACGCAGTTCCCTTGGTCTAATCCTCTCATCCGGTGAACGAGGGCAACCACTGTCTCCTGAGCTAGTCATCTTTATTTACCACCCGAGTTCGCGGTACTTCGCACAGGTGTCGACGTAATTTCCTGCGGCTCATCGGGGCAGTAAATTGGGGAAAACACGAGAAGACTGAGAAACCGCACTCGCCGGAGAAATTGATTAGGACTCTTATTTATAGCATTGTGCAAACTCGATAATATATAACTATATAACTTTTAAATAGAAGAAGGTTTAATGTTTTCTCTTTTTAATGATATATAACAAACTGAAAATATACATAACTACAGACACTCTACATCAACAATTTATATTACGTCATCATCATCATCATCACTATCGTCGTCGTTTTCCCACGCTTCATCGAGAATGAATTTTGTCGACTTGATTATAATTCCCGATCGCGATCGTCGTCGTTGTGCATGAGTAAGACGCGGAAAATGAGTGGAAACAAGTTGAAGTTTCCTTCACAAGTGGGTTGATCTTCCGCCCGTCGGGGCTTCCGCATGCTCCTCCTCCTCCTGCTGCTCCTCCTCCTCCCCCCTCCTCCTTCTCCTACCCCCTCCTCCCCTCTCCTCCTCCTCTTCCCCTCTCCTCCTCGTCCTCCCCTCTCCTTCGTCTTCTCCCCCCTCCTCCTCCTCCTAATCCCACTCCTCTTCCTCCCCCCTCCTCTTTCCTTCTCCTCCTCTTCCTATTCCCCTCTCCTCCTCCTCTTACCTTCTCCTCCTCTCCTCCTCTCCTCCCCCTCTCCGGTCTCTGGTGCCTTAGTAGGTGGTCGCGTATCTGTTTCAGAAGAATGTGGGCGAAAACCTTGCCTGGTATACCGAGCAGTGTAATGCCACAGTAGTTGCTACAGTCCCAACAATTCTAACTTCAGTTAGGGTAGGTGGTTCCTCACTGATGGGTGGGTCTGACACAGGGATTGTGATATCATTTGTATCCAAGGCAACTGTTGGAGGGCCTACCTGGTATAGCTGCTTAAAATACTCAATCAATGTTTACGAATCCCAACATGATCTGAGATGATCTGTCCATCCACTAAGTGGACTGCAGTCATCTGCGAGGAGGGCTTACAGCTCAGTTTTCTCAGGGCTTGGTAGGCATGGCAGCTCAGCAGTGTTCGAGCCCTATGCACCAAAGGGCGACGCAAGTTGCCATTCAGCCGAGCCATGTGACATGCTTCAGTAACCTCCAGTGTCTCCAGGGAAATGGAATTCTGCCTTGATCTCGGGTGTACACCAATGAACTCCTGCACTGCATCAAGTGTTTTGCGCTTGAAGGACTCCCATAGAGCAACTGGATCCATCTGATTTTCGAGTTCTGTGAATTGATCAGAGACTTACCGCAGGAAACCCATGGGAACACTCATCCTCCCTCAGTCTGTCCAAACGAAACAAACTATAGTGGCCACTAGAGGGACGAGGAGGGTAGCCACAACCAGCCTATGATCAATGCCATAGAACTCAGCACTCAGGTAAAACCTGCAGTTCTGGAGGATCCTCCATTGAGTGCTGACAAGAATGTGGTCGATCTCTTTGGCCACAGTACCTGTATCACTATACCACGTACAGCGATCCGGGTTGGAGTGCTGATATCAGGACCCAGAAATCCTGTCCTCACTGCTGGGATCAGCTCTCAAGCCATGGGGGCTGACAGACATCTCATAGCCAGTCTCGCCAGGGACAATTGTCGCAGATGTGAGTTTGTCATATAATGCCTCTTTCACATCGAGTTTGCAAACATCGGTAGCAGCGTACATAGCAATAAGAGACATGAAGCCAAAAGCATGCTTCAGCCTCAATGCCATAATATGCTCATCAGCCGGTATTACCTCAACTACCGAAGGTTGGAGTCGGCTGGAGATGGCTATGGCTACTCCCTGAACATGAGGACCATCGCCGCGGCCTGACCAGTAGTAGGTGTGCCCACCCTTACTGATCGTGCCGCTGCCAGGTCTTCTCACCTCCGAGAGGGCAATCACCTCCTGACCGCTCCAATTCCCTTGATAGCAGAGATAATCACTCGTCCTGCCGCAAGGACCGGATGTTCCAAGCGCCTACCCGGATAGGTCACCTGAGGTTAAAGTGCAAGTGATTTTAGATTACTAATTTTTCAATCTATTTTTATAGATAACAGCGTCAGGAAGTATGGCCATTTTTTTTTTTTTTAATTATCTCATTATAATCATAATATAATATAATTGAATTGGAGACTTCTCAGTAGCTTTGTTTTGATTTTCCCACAAAATCACCCCTGTGTGTGACGTCACACCGAGAAGTCATGTTTAGTTCCGCCCAGCAATCGACGCCACGCTCGTGATAACGTATTCTTGTTAATAGATTCAGAGATGCCTAGGCGATGTGTTGCTGCACTTTGTGGCAAAGCAGACAGCCAGTTATATTTATGGCCTAATTTAGCGAAGATTTGGACAAGATTTGTACGTACTAAATAAGACAAGTGGACACCAGGTGCTATGCAGTGATCATTTCTCGGAAGAATGCTTTAGCAATCTAAGACAATTCAAATCTGGACTGTCTGAAAAGTAAGTGGATTTGCATGATATTGAAATAAATATTTTACGGTTGAACCAATAATGTGCACATATAGCCTTATTGCGGTATTACTTTGGGCCTAATGTACCCCACTGTAATGTACTGTAAGATTCACAGAAACACGCGTCTAGACAGATCAATCTGCTACATCCTTTATTAAATTATAATTACTTTGTTAAGTTTCTTTCATTTAGTGTATTTTATAATTTTATGTTTTATGCAAAGAAAACAGCGGAAAACATTGAAAATGCCGAACGTCTCCAGGCCTACCTATATGGAATGTATTCTGATAGTTGAATTAAAGAACATTTTGCACCAAATCTTTACCTGGCTGCATCAGTTAAAAATAAATGGAGAGACTTTCTAACTGTTAGCTTAGGCTTTACAGAATATACTTACCAACCTCTCTTACCAGTGGTGTTCCTCTTCCTGGTCCATCTCCAAATCCTCATTATTCACATCGGTGGCCCTAAAACGTGGCTCAAAATTGTCGAGATGTATCTGAGTAACATTTTCTTCATCCAAGCTAGATTAGTTGTTGATGAACAACTTGATGAAATGGCTTCACTTTCTGATTCACTCATACGTTTTGACACCGCTATGTTGAGGAAGTTGGCAGACGTGTTCTCGGTATGACGTCACACAGTACAGGACAAGAAGGGAAAAATTTTGTTCTGAATTCCCGAAAGTGCGCTAGGAAACAAGTCTATTTTTGGCTCATTGAAATGTTCTAATCGGTATAAACTGCGCAAACAGTTTTATTACAACTTATTCTTGGTTCTTATGAAAAAAAAAGTTTTTTTTAAAGATCGTGTCACTTTCACTATAAGTCTCGTGCAGTCGCTCCGGGAGGACGCCACCTCTGCCAGCCCCGACGACGCTGCCCCAAATAAAGCCTGTCGGTGTGGGGCCCAATGTCTGCCTATGGGGTTCCCTAGGGCTTTGCCCCACAGACCTCATGCTGGGTTGGCGTCTGCTGCACGGGACGAGTAACTCTCATTCCCATCCTGCTCCCCAACATTTGCCTTTCCACCGGGAACCACACCCCACCTTGCTTGCTGGGTGGGAGGGACAGCATCCCCCCCCCCCAGCACATCCATTTATTTCAGCAGTTGCCAGTGAATTAT